CTCTCTCTCTCTCTCTCTCTCTCTCTCTCTCTCTCTCTCTCTCTCTCTCATACACACACACACGGCTGTAATTGGGGTGTATGTGTGTGTTTTTTCTTTCACCCTCAGCAGAAACTCTGAAAAGCTTTGGTCCTGACCAACTTGTAATTACAGCATCTTCAGAGTTTCATCCAACGAATGCACAGAGCTGAGAAATATGGCAGGGACTAGGATTTCTAAGAATGGACTGAGAAACTTAGCCAAGAAGGAGATTTAGGGGTAGGGAATGTCGCTGGCTAATTTTGGAAACTATCTCTTTTTTTTTTTTTTTTGGCAACTAGAGGAATATGCTGAAAACAGATGGCCTCAGAGCAAATCTTCTCTTGACATTTGGATTAGCTTATGGGCTTGTAACTTCAAAGTGATGTTGTGGCAAACCCAATTCTCACATCTACCTTTAAGTCCAAGCCAGAAAAAAAAATTGAAAAGTCAACGATTTTGATAAATTACACTTTAAATCGTGTCTTTTTTTTCCTTCTAAAATGTTTTGTTTTTTTCTTTTAACCAAGCTTGTGCTCAGGAACTTCAACAAGATCCATCGGTTGGTGTAACGGCTGATGTGTCACAATTAAGCCTGCACATAGACCCGGCCCATACGTCACTAGGCCTACTGCAGCCCACCCTCCAGAGTGACCTCGCCGAGGGGCCATCGTGGGTCAGAGACTCTAGCCGTCCTAGCAGTCTTGGGGTGACAGAGACCCACTGTTCACCACAGGTGGATGCTTCTACCCCAACACATTCTGATTCAACATTTCTAGGAATCCTTGCTTCTTTCAGGAAGGAATCGAACACTGTGGAAAAAAATGAACATAAGTGACCAAACTAGGGACATTTGAGACACTGTAGTCGCTGTTCTCCCTGAACCGGTCTGAAGTCAAAAGCACATATTAAGTAAGAGCAAATATGTGTCTGTAGAAACAGAAAACATTTGGAAGCAAACATCATGAGGATTTTAGACCAGTGTAGCCCCGTGGGACTCCGAAAAACACCAGGTCATAGCCAGGGCAGACAAACCAAGATGCAAAGTCATGTCAGAAGCCTTGTAATTTACACACATTTCAACATAATGGTTTGAAACAAACTACATTTTCCTGTAAATTTAGATGAAAAGCAGTGACTGCTTTATTGTGGTTTGAATCCCAGACTAAGCAAACAGGAAAAGCACGGCCATTTAAGCTCTTTTACTTGACCTTGGAGAAAATTTTAAAGGAGTATCTTAGAACAGGAAGTGAACAGAATCCCTGCAGGGTGAAATCCAAGCCTTACAAGCTGCAGAAACCTGTTTTATCTGTGTCGTATGCATCCTTTACGGTGAGCAGCAAAATTTCAGTTAAAATGTTATAGCCATAAATACAGCGTGTGCATCTTATTGTGATTTCTTTTCTGCCAGTGCTGTCAAGTGTACTCTATGGGGAGAAAAATCAAGCAGACGAACCAAGTTTCTCACCTGCAATGCAGAAAAGTTGTAATAATAAATGACCCCATTCAGCTGCATTTTTTATGAGGGCCTTTTTTTATCATTAAAGATATTACTCCATAAGAATCCCTACTTTGACATTCAGAGCTTGTTATAGCTTCTCTGTGCTCCTAATAATGTGTGTTTATAGCAAATAGCTCAAGTCAAGGACGATGCAGAAATGCTTTCAGGGACAAAGTGTGCCCCCAAAATGCATTAATCTCCCTTCCAAAAGTTGCAGCATTTTTTTGGGAGCTGGAAGAGTCAAGCACCTGCAGCACAGAGCAGATGCTGCGGTCTCTCGGCAGTTCAGTCCCAATAAACCCAGCCGAGAGAGGAAAAAAATAGCTAAATTGTGAATCATTCATGACTAGCAGCTTTCCAGGAGCAAAATCCAACTGGGTTCTCTTTACACTGATGGTCAGACACTTCTCATTCATAGAAGCTGCTAATGTGTGGTCCTCCTGTGGTTTTATAGAGTGGAACATTCTCCCAAAACCACTGTTAAGGTTTTGCAGCATACAGAGAAGAAATGTGGATCAATGCCAAAGAGGTACGAGGAGACAACTACAAAACGTTAGGCGATGTCTCGCTGTAACTGGACGATTAAACACGTTTAACCTTTTTTAAACCACAACATCTGGTTCATATTCTCACATTTTCACTCATCTGCTTACATGTGGAGACAGACAATATTGATGAACACAGTTTATTATTTGTAAGCTAGGCAGTTAAAAAATAATGTCTGTCAGTTAGTTGTTCTACATTTTCTTTAAAACTTTTCCAATTCGGGTTAGGATTTTTCACCAGACTCATCCTTAAGAACAACATGGCCTCCAAATTATCTCTAGCTATCTGGTGATTATTTTTATTGGTTGCGCCTTGAAAAGAGTTATGTTAGATTTGCAATACCACCATAGCCTGGTAAAAACCAGACCCTTGTCCTTCACTTTGCTTCGTACGAGGGTCTGGACTCGCTGCTATAGAGAAGTGATTCTTGCTGGAGGAGTGGCCTCTGCTGAAGTGTGTGTGTACGTCGCTGAGAAGGAGGCTAAGCTAAGACGCTAACCGGAAATCACGTGCGCTGTAAACAACCCTACTGAGAGGAGAGAAGTACCGAGCCGAACGAGACGGCWGTAAAGGAGAGCTGTTGCTTTGTCAGACAAATTTAATTTAATTTGGAAGMCTTATCAACACAGAYTGGCTTCATTCACTTCTTCCACTGCCATTGCTAAACTAACTAGCAGACACTGCGCAGAAAATCAACGTCATTCAAAACCCCGCCTTGTGTTTGTTGATTGGCCCAGGTAAAATAAACTACAAGCAGACACTGCGCAGAAAATCGGCATTCTGTTCTCTGATTGGTCCGGCTAAAAATCTGCCAGCAAAATCCTTGTCTATGGGAGAAATGCCAGACGGAGCAGAGAAGCGAAACTAGAATTGAGCGGAGCTGCATAGGAAGGCTAGGGCCAGGCTACTATATAGCTCAACCCTAAATTCCTCCTTCATAGCCTTTTAGATCCTCTAATTAAGCCCAAGTGTTTTTGTAATATGTTGACTTTCACTGACAGGAAGAACAATCCAAAGGCTCTGCATCCTCATTAAGGTCATGGCACAATGTGATACAGGAATTCATTCCCAATGAGTCTATTACATGTTAACTTAACTCTTCAAAGGACACTTTCTGTTCTGGGACCCTTACTTGATGTATTTAAGGCCAGAGGTGTCCACTCAGTTACTTCAAAGATTATGCCTGACGTTTGTTTTCTGTTTCTGTAATGACCTCAAGATCAATCTAAACTGTCTGCATTTTGTAAACTTACAAATATCAAGTAAAAAAAGTTATTTGCACAATTTAATCATATTTCTCCTATCTTTAAGGTATATGTTTTTTATATAAAGGTTGTGTTTTCCCCAAAGACATTCCTCCTTGATAAACTGTGTCAGTACAGATAGATGACGTTTGGTTGGCAGCACAGTTAAAAGCACTAATGTCACTTTGCAGGGGCTTTAGAGGTTGGGCAAATGTGTAAAATCCTATTAGGAAACAGCAAAAGATGCACAGTTTGTTGACAAATCCAAGCCTGAACATGCACCCATGCACCCAGCAAGAAACACATGGCTAAGTTGAGTGTGAAGAAGATGCCCCGTCAGTAAGACGAGTCATTTTGCACGGACCCTTATTCCACTCTCCAATAGCTACCTCAGTCACGCATGGTATTGATGGGACAGTTAAAGGACAATCAGCAGTGATATTACACCTCAGCATGAGAATCTAAAAGTTAAAGTGCTGCTTTTGTGTGTGTGTGTGTGTGTGTGTGTGTGTGTGTGTGTGTGTGTGTGTGTGTGTGTGTGTGTGTGTGTGTGTGTGTGTGTGTGTGTGTGGTACAAAAGATTAGGC